TTCAAAGGGTTGGAGATAGACCGTCCCGGCAGGGAGCAGAGAGGCGGCAGGATGGTGACACAGGCGCTACGTAACCCCGACCGGAACTTACGGGGCCCGGACGAGGGTGATAGTGCAAGTGAGAGTGACCAACCATCTCTTCCCCCCCCCCCCCCGCACGGTGAGCGGCGGTCAGACCCGATAGGGGGGGGGGTCACCGGCGTCAGATAACTACCGGAAATCACCAGCCTAGGCGGACCTCACGAGTCACGACACATGACAGCGGCTGGCGGCGACGAAGGCTGACCAGTGATTGTGACAGCACCAGGGGGGGGGGGGGGACGGTCACGAAACCGACAGGCCACCAGGTCACAGACTGATGGGATAAGGATGAAGAATGGTCCAAAACTCCATAGTGAAAGGGCGATACGCAGCGATCCACGCCAGTCGCCAACCCTTGAGTCGGGTGAGAGTACCCGTGGGGAACGAAGAGGTCAAGATAGCGGATGCCAAGGACCAAACACGCTTTGGAGATGACTGAAATCATGGACCGTGCGGCTGACGGGTTAGCCCCACAACCGTATTGCGGACTCTATTGACGGTGCTAACTTCACACTGCGCCACTTGTTACTAGGCTGATACGGCAAGTGTTTGGTCACACATCAAAAACTGCCTCGTAACTCCACATCAGATCGGGTCCATAAGTCCGCCTAAAAACTGGACCACCACGTCAAAAAGTAGCTGCGATGTCCCGATACAAAACCGGACTATATACAGCTGCAGCTCCTAACGCGCCTGACACTGCCATGTCAGCGCTCTGCTCGCTAATGACAACGCACTGACGGCCGACGCACCCGCCCACCCTCTGGTATCCGCCCAGATCGAGACCGGGGCTGGGACGGCCCAGTCGGCGTCATCCTCTGGGCGGGGGCGCACCAGTCAAGGTCGGGACAGCAGCAGGAATGTGCACGGCGCCGCCCCGGGCGCCCCAGGTAAGTATGGATGTATACGGGCCGAGGATCGAGCTGTGCAGGAGCAGCCGAGCCCGGCGCATTTAATCGGCACCGGTGGGCGCCCGGACAGCGTCCGTCACGATTGGATGCACGGCACCGCGCCCGCCGCCGCAGAATCACCTACGCCACACCGTAGCAGCATCGCGGCATCATAGCCGATGCATCACTGCAGCAGCATCACATTACATCACCGAAGCGACATCGCGGCATCATCGCAGCATCACGAACGCTACACCAAGTCCGCGCAGGCAGAGCGAGAAACAGTGCAGACGTCGGCTCGGTGCAAATAATCCGCCGATGGACTAATTGTACGGGACACTGACCTGCCGTGTGTCAGCATTACCAACAATAGGTATCAGAATAAGTGCCATAACTAGCAATGATATCATTGCGTTCAATCCTCTCATCAAGCGCTGGTCCAATCCGGTCACTTTTACCACGTTTCCCCTGTCCCGTCTGACCCTCTATGTATGTGTTAAAAGAGCCGACTTTGACGGCCGTCCCGTCTCTTCTGCAGAACTCCGTGAATCTGGTGCCGCTCGACCGTGGCGGCGTCGGCGTCAAACACCCCGCTCCACCGGCGGGAGGCAGGCGGCAGGCGGCGGGCGGTGAGCATTGGGCGGTGAGCGGAGAGCCGTGACCGGCGGCGACGGCTGATCTGGTGGCCACGCGAGGCCAGCAGCCTCCGCCGGCGCGCCGCCGTCGAACGCAGCAGGCCGTGCAAACGAGAGGAGGCGCCCGAGCCCAGAGCCGCCGGACCGGCCAGCGCTGAGCCGCGGTAGAGCCGGCCGTGTGGGGGCGGGACGGGGGCGAGAGGTAGCCTGGGGCGAGAGAGCAGCCCCAGTGTGGACCAGCGGGACCGGCCGGTCAGCTCACGGACTGGCACGGTGAAAAAAAGCGGAAACACAAACCGGTTGGAAAGACTGAACGGTGAAGGGAAGACGACATCTCACTGTTGTGTAATACAGGAAGAGCGGGGACGTTTGGATGCTACCGAACCAATCCAGCAGCGAGGAAAACGGAGAGGGAAGGTCGGCGGCGTCACTGTTTGTTGGTGTGCGGTAAAGATAGCACGACAGGGAGTACTTACCGACCAGCGATCCTTATCTGAAGGCGCAGCGTGAAACAAAAACAGCGTCAACGACACAGACCAGCGGCTGTCGATCCCAAACGCACGCCGGGAGATGGACCACCCAGCGGGTAAAAGGGTGTTGGGGCAGGTCATAAAATGAAGATATTATCGATGCTCAGGAAACATACCATCGGGCTGTCATCAAATTATCGGATTACATGCCTAACACATGTTCAGCCACCGGTTTAGACGCGTCTGATTTAATAACAGAGCCCAAGCCAGGCCGGCCGGCCGGTCACACAGCTCGAACACGTGACGCTACCACCCACCATCCCCCGCCGCGGGGGGCGCCAGCTGACGGTGCCGCGGCCGGTCGGCCGTCCGACGGATAACGGACACGGCTCGGCACTTCATAACCAGCTCAGCACGAAAACAGCCGTCAGCAGGCTGTCCGAGCGAGGCACACGGCCGGCCGGCGGCCCCAGCCTCGCCTGAGGGATAGCTCCGTCTCCGAACACAGGGGTACTAAACGGGCCTCTGTGAGATGCGGCATAAACCGTGGGCGGGGGCAGCAGCCGGATCCGGACAGAACAGAGCAGATACGCCGCTGCACAGGGCACATATACAGTGATGAGATCAGCCGCCGTTTCCCGGTATCGTGCGGCGGCAGACTGTCCCCTCTCCCCCACCCAGTTTGTCTGACCTGACAAGCCTTCTCGGACCGCGGCAGACTGATTCCTCCGTCCAAATGTGTGAGATCTTATCCGCCGAACCAGGCATGACAGTTTGCAACCCAGTTTATCAGTTCACACTATCCGTCCGAAAGCTCCGTCCATCGTTGCTTTGCTTGTCGATCGCACTAAAAGACGTTTGATTGATCTCAAGCCCTCCGATTTTACTCTCCCTTCTCAGTACCGTCCCAAGCAGCGGCAGGTTGACCCCCAGTCCACCCTCAGACCCTCCCTGTCCGTCCCGTACAGCGCTCATTGCTCCAGTGCTCCATGTAAACACTGCCTCACCGCACCGCCCCACCAACTGACCGCAGCTTTATAAACGCCCGGGGCCAACGTCCGGCCTATCGTCAGGAGAGCAGCCGGACCGGGCGGAGACAGAGCCCGCTCCCCACCCCCGCTGCAGCCGGGACCCAGATACCGCAGCAGCGCAGCGGGGCGAGCGGTAAAACAGCGCACGCGTGATCCAAACACGGCCAAAGTTTGGCCTCAGGACCGAGTATTTACTGGGCAAATAAACCACGGATTGTTAAACATTTACAAAGGCTCACGGCTCTGATAAATGACAAGGATGGTCCTTGAGGCGATCAGGCCTGGACGAGCGGCGCCAGGTGTGAAACACTTTGTCCACTAGTAGACAGGTAGTTGTTTGGAGGCCCGTTTCCCGATCGCCGAGCGCAATGGTCCACACCTGTGCCGGCAGGCGCAGAGCTGACCTCCCAGCTAACCTGCCCATGTCGGTAGTGTGATGACTAATGACTATTTAGATGGATGTGTTAAACGCCCTCAATGAAACCTAACACGCGAGGCACGGACAGCTTCATTTATAACCTTAATGGTTTTTCGTTCCCTCTAGCCCTGTCCAGTAATTTTCTCTTACGTAATTGTGGCCTTTGTGTAACTTGCTGCGTTTAATAAGCAAGCAAACGCAACTCGTGTTTTACATCAGTCAAATCTAACTTTGATAGTGTGATAAACCGACTAAGATGCCGCTGGCATTCACTAAAATAAATACGTAAATGCCTTGTTTAAGCACTCAAAACAACATATCTGCATGAGACAGCGCTCAAGCTGCTGTGATGTAACGTTCATGAAAGTGTCATGAGTATGAAAAATACACAATAACACTTGCCTGAGCACGCTCAACAAGCAGAGCTGCTGCGGTTGCCATAGAAACAACAGCTGCACTGCATTCAATTACCAGCCAGGACACTATAGTAGGCACAGCCTCAACAGTACGAAACTTAGGCTCAGCTACCAGATCTAACTACATAAAGGCACCTTCCGGTCAGGGTCCTACAATCATCACCCACAATGTTTGAGCCTCTGACGCGTTCTCAGCCCCACCTACCGATCCATGGTTTGCTGCTGAGCGTGTGTGACAGCTCCTTCCTCTCCTTAGCAGTCCGTGTTCCTCCTCCGTGAGCTCACAGGAGTGCTGGTTTTCCTCAGAGTGATAACGTCTCACAGAGAGTCCTGGCTCCTTACAGAGCCCTCGCTCCTTGCAAAAACCCCGCTCCGCACAGAGGCTCGACTTCTGCTCACAGAGGCTCTGCTCCTTACAGAAGCCACAGAGGCCTCGCTTCTCACAGAGACACTGGGCACACATGGCTCCGGCAGCCGATCCAGCGCCACTCCCAGTCCCGACTGTCCTATCTCACCGGCAGCTGTCGCGCCGCGGGTCTCTCCCAGACCGCCCCCCGCGTCTTCGGTCACCGCAGCAGTACTATACCGTCCCCTGCGAGCGGTACGGAAAATCCAATCCAGTATCGGAAACGGGCCCCAGCGGGTCTGTGCAGCCGGGCAGCGTCATATCCTGGGGCTGCACCGGTCAACAGACTTGGGAGGCGCCAACGGCGGCGGGCGGTATCTACATTTGGGAGTTTCTCACGGCCGCAACCGAACGCCCCAAGGGACATACCAGGAATAATCTCCAATAAACAGCTCAAGACTGGGATTATCCGATATCGCAGTGTAGAAATCCGAATACGAAGGTAAAACCAACTACATAGACTTCGCTGTCTTCCCCACTATCTAACAAAATACAGACTCCCGTACCCCAACGCACCACAAATGACAAAGCACCACACCCACAAGCGCACAGTCCGTGTCAGCCGGTAGCCAGCCATCCATCCTTCACCCTGTGACGGGGAAGAGCCACGGGTCACGGGGCCAGGTCACCGACAGTGGTCGGCCGGCACTCACCTGTCTTTGGACACGCGCCAGGGCAGGAGGCGGCGGTCGAGCCGGGGGCTGTCGCAGAGACGGACGCTCGTGCCGCTTGAAGGCGTGGTGCCGCCGGAGACCGGGAGGGGAGCCCTGTGGTGGCGGGAGGCTGAGTCAAGTACAGCAGAGACACAGGGGTATCTTCACCACGTACAGGTGATGATGGTGAACAAAACGTATGTCATGGAAATGTGAAACGCGCAAGATTTTACGAAATGAGCACCACTCGGGCTAGATGCCACTATCCAAAGAACATCTAAAGAACACACCAACAATGTGAAAACTCGGCCTTCTCAACCCTAGCCATTGCTTTGCACTACGTCGAAGCTATCAACCAGTATAACGCCTTTTGGGGCGACTAACGGAGCGAGCGAGAGGGTGGGCCTTGCACGTGCGAAATTGCGAGGGGGTACCTCCAACTGACTTGTGCACGGCACCCTACTAACCGGTCTCTAGCGATGTGCCAAATTTGGGCACAATCGGGCCAGCCGTTCTCGAGATCTGGAAGCGGCACCCTGCACGTGCGCACGTGCAAAATGGGTCCCAACTGACTTGTGCACGGCACCCTACTAACCGATCCCTAACTGTGTACCAAATTTGAGCGCAATCGGTCGAGCCGTTCTCGAGATCTGGAAACGATCCCTGCACGTGCGCACGTGCAGCAGCACCCCAACTCTGGCACATGGATATGCAGTGCCTAGTGGGTGCCTACCTACATCCCAACTTTGAGCGCAATCGGCCAAGTAGTTACCGAGATATTGCAACAAGTACAAAACTGACACCTCTTCGTTTTGCACGTGGCACGTGCATAAGGGGTCACCCACATGCGTCGGGAATAGTCCAATACTTGGTAGAAGGAATGAAGCTACCCTACAAAAATTACCGCATGTAAATCGGTCAAGTGGTTGCTGAGATATAAGCCTCGCAAAAGCGTCCGCACGGCCGGCCGGCCGGCCGCTCATACTCAGAAATTTCCGTTAATCTAAGGAAAGACTCCGCTCGCTTCGCTCGCTCCGTAACAAATGAGTCCTAAGACCAGTAGAACGCCTTTTGGGGCGACTAACGGAGCGAGCGAGAGGGCGAGCCTTGCACGTGCGAAATTTCGAGGGGGTACCTCCAGCTGACTTGTGCACGGCACCCTACTAACCGGTCTCTAGCGATGTGCCAAATTTGAGCACAATCGGCCCAGCCGTTCTCGAGATCTGGGAGCGACACCCTGCACGTGCGCACGTGCAAAATGGGTCCTAACTGACTTGTGCACGGCACCCTTCTAACCGGTCCCTAACTGTGTACCAAATTTGAGCGCAATCGGTCCAGCCGTTCTCGAGATCTGGAAACGACCCCTGCACGTGCGCACGTGCAGCAGCACCCTAACTCTGGCACATGGATATGCAGTGCCTAGTGGGTGCCTACCTACATGCCAACTTTCAGCGCAATCGGCCAAGTAGTTAACGAGATATTGCAACAATTACAAAACTGACACCTCTTCGTTTTGCACGTGGCACGTGCATAAGGGGTCACCCACATGCATCGGGAATAGTCCAATACTTGGTAGAAGGAATGAAGCTACCCTACAAAAATTACCGCATGTAAATCGGTCAAGTGGTTGCTGAGATATAAGCCTCGCAAAAGCGTCCGCACGGCCGGCCGGCCGGCCGGCCGGCCGGCCGCTCATACTCAGAAATTTCCGTTAATCTAAGAAAAGACTCCGCTCGCTTCGCTCGCTCCGTAATTATGTTCCGCTAACAAGAACACTGAGCATCAAACAGTACCCACAGAAGACAAACTTCGAAAAGAGTGGCTAATGAATTCATGTAGCTCGTCCACATCCGCCAGTTTCTCCCCCCCCCCCCTTTCGCCTCCCCGCTCATCACATCACGACGCTCCCTTACCGCCGAGCTGGAGGCGGAGACGGGCCGCGTCTTGGCGTTCGGCAGTCGCTCGTACACATGCTCCCGACTCAGCGTTCCATACAGGGTCTCATCACTGGCCGTCCTCCGCAGGGGCGAGGACACTGCGTATGGCTCCACGGGCCCCTGGCGCGCCGGCCGCCGGTTCCTGCCGGGAGGCGGTGGCGGCGGCGGGGACGGGGGCGGCGGCGGCAGCTCGCGTCGCGGCACTGTCGGCTCAGCGTACACGTGCTCGGCTGGGGACGGAGAGTCCCCTGAGGACGCCGGAGGGTCTGCCGGCGCCGGCAGCGGCTGGAACGTCTCTAGGCGACCGGACCGGCGCCGGCCCAGGTCACTCGGCTTCCGCGCGATGGCCGGCCGCGGCCCCGAGCTGCTGCGGCGGATGGTCACCGTGGTGGCCGCGGCAGCTGCGGCCGGCACGACCCCCGCTCCCGCTCCTACAGCCGCGGTCTCTGCCCCGGCCGCGGAGCTCTGACGCGCCTGCACGTACACGTCGTGAGCGAAGGTGCGTGGTGGCTTCCGCGGCGGCGGCCCGGTCGGCAGGGGAAGCGACGAAAAGTCGTCGGTGAGACCCTGTGTCGCCGCCGTCGGTATCACCGTGCGCCGGTTCAGCCTGCCCGGCTTTACCGGCCCGTTGTTATTGTCAGGGTCCTGTGCCGATTTCACGGGGGCACTCACGGCGGGGGCGTGGTTCACCACGGACACATGGTTCACAGGGGGAGCTGTCACCGGTCGCGGTGCGGGATCAGCGGCCGTCACACGGGTTAGCGGCCGATGCGCCGGTCTACTACCAGTCACCTCACCATTCGTCTGGCTGGCCTTCACTGGCAGCGGCGGCGACGGCGAGTCTTTGCTCTCTGCGGCCCGCTCCGCCGACGGCCGCCGCTCCATGTCGCGCACGCGGTCGCTGACACGCGCCTTGAGCGCTGCGTTCCGTTTGAGCACGGCCGGTCGCTCGCGCAGCAGCGGGCTGACGTGTGCGCTGACCGGCCGCGAGCGCGTCAGCCCGATGCGTCCCTCGCTGTTGCGGTGTCGGAGGCGCGGCTGGAGCGGCGCCGTGGTGCGGAAGCTGGCCGTGCGGCGGGCCACCTGGCCGCGGGGCCGGGGGCCGGCCGGAGCCGCGCTGTCCGACACGCGCGTCTCCTCAAAACGCTTCATCATCTCCTGCACACTCATGGTGCTGTCAGCGGTGGCGGCTAGGGCATGTCCAGCAGCCTCCTCAGGAGCTCAGCAGGCCTGGGGGTGAGGGGACATCTCAGTAAGATGAATGTAAAGATACTGGGTCCAGATTGGCCAAATAAGTTTGAGACCCCATGCTTACTGGACATATTGTTTAAATCATAATTACTCCAAGCATCAGTTTTTAAGAGAATGAATTGACAGAAGTTCCATTCAATGCAACTTAGATGGATATAAAATGTCATTTATAACAGCTTTGTAAAAAGCATCTTTGGAAAGGTACCTAGGTAGGTGATAAGCCAGATCCCTTTTCAGTTGGCCAAAGCAGATGATGTGCCTATCATTTATTAATCAACAAGTTATGAAATTAAATACTAGTTTTTCACTAATAGTAACTCATATCTTTTTTTAGTCACAGTTCAAAAGAGGGTTAGCCAGTCTTCCCTTCTGATCAAATATTAATTGTCTTCCAGATAGGCAACTAAACAAAGGCCAACATCCTTTCATCATTTACCTCTGGAAACCCTATAATTTAACTTAGAAATTTGCACAAAAAAGAAATGTTCTACATGAAATCTGAAGACCACATCAAAATTGAGCATTTTGCAACTTGTGTAGGTACTCATTCATTTTCCGACTCTTGAAACAACAATGAACAACTAACAAGGCCTAGGTAGGTACTTTTCAGAGAACCCAACTGTTCGGCATTCAGTCGTACTGAAGGAGCCTATCTCTTAAATTTACAGTTTATATAAAAGCATGGCATTAAACCTTCAAAAATAAAGATTCTGGATTTGACCAGTTGAAATAGGGACTTTGAAATTACGTTGAAACAGCATTTGTACCTATCTTTTGAAACACTGATTTAGTATGATTGATTTATTGAAACAAGAACATTTTAACCCTTCACCATTACGATACTATTGAAAATATTTTTGCATCACATTGCAAATTAATCAAAATTGAGCTTTTGCAAGGAAACATTGTGGAAACGGTTCAGTACGGCGTGCTCAGAACAGCAAAACTTCAGAACTGAAATTTTAATTCTTTGCACTCTTTGAACTTAAAGGTATGGTAAATTCCTCTCAAAATGAAACCCTGATTCTTACCTGTGATAAAAAGTACTTCAAGGGTACAAAATGCTGAAACTAAGCAAAAACCCCGGGTCGAATGCGACACCCACCCACAACCACCAGTCGCGCGAGACTGAGAGCCAAATAGACAGGGTTGCCAGATCCAAAATGGTCCTTATCGCCAAATTCGCCCCTCGAATTTCGCCAAAATTCGCCAAATAGGATGCACTGTATAAGCATACGTAGCAGCGCAAGTTGGCGTTCGTGTAACCGTGTTCACGATTCGTTTCCTAGTTCACGATTTACCTATCTCGTTTCTCATGTTCATCTACATAACAGCGTACCTTAACCAGCGCCAAATAAAATAGCAAAGGCAGAGGTGGAGATCTCGGGGGGGGGGGGGTCGGGGGGCAGGACCCCTGCCCCCTGCCCCCTGAAAACGAATTACTGCTATGTAAGTCAATGGTACTGCATCCAGCCCGCCTCCATCTGCCCGGCCTGGACCCCCCTGACATTTTGACATATCTCCACCCCTGAGCAAAGGTCGTGCGAGATGTGGTTCAGAAGATATTTTCATCAGGAACATTTTATATTTATATTAAATGTTCGGATGTTAGGTTAAATGTTAGGAACATTATATATTTGAGTGCCTAATATGAAACGTTGGAAGGTTAAATTAAAGGGACCCTCCCACCTTAACATTAGTTTTGAGTTGAGATAGCCAAATTGGTGGCCATGGCCTGAAAATACCGGTTTGGGCATTCACAACATCGAAAAATGCTTTAATTCGGAGATATGGAATTTCAAACTTGCAGTTTTCGGATTCTAAGGGGCTAATGCATTGGTATGCCCCCTTAGAATTTGTGACGTCAGCGGAGATCTAACGATTTTTAAATCTTTTACTAAAACGTTTGGCAGCACGCGGTGGTATATGCTGCTTTGCGCGCAACAAATGCCGCACTTTCAAATAAAGTCGCTAGGAACAGCGGAGATCCCAAAAAGTAAACAAAAGTAAAAGTCTAATATCTTGAAAACCGGTGAATATTTTTCGATGAAATTTGGTAGATATTCATTTTTGCTCTTTCTGAACCGAGCGACATCACTTTCATGCCAATTCATTAACTTTTTTGAAGGTGGGAGGGTCCCTTTAATCAGATTACGAAACATTTCGTAACGATGTTTTTTGCTTTGTTTTGTTTATTTTTTAAAATAATATTCGGCGATTTGGAGGCGAACTCTGGAAATTCGCCAATATTTGACGTTTTATCGCCTATCGCCAAACGCCGTGCTTCTATCGCCAATGACTTCCAAAATTCGCCAAATTGGCGACATATCGCCAAGTCTGGCAACCCTGCAAATAGACTGAGAGCGGTTTGTTGTGATTCGGGGGCGGAGCAACAAGTGTAAAAAGCACGAGACCACCAAATTGAAATAGCGCGCCAGATACCACTGTCCAGGGCGATAAAATACCCGTCCACATGGCAAGCACTGGCGAAAATAGGCATTCGTTTCATTTTACAATTAGTTTCATCATTTCGGATGACAGAAACGCTTGTATTCCAATCAGAAAGAGCACACGAAACCATTCAGGGCACCATGCATTATGAGCAGAATTCCCTGAGCAAAAATACAGCTTCTCCACCATGGGCCACTCACTTCCTTGACCGGCAAGTTCAGGTTCTCTCTTTGATGTGCTCGGTACTCTTCACGTAGCTTCAGACTCACCGTCTACCTCTGGCTGTAACTCCTGAAATCTAACCAGCACGCTCTAGCCTGGCGTTTAAAGCCGACACCCGACCCACCAACACGCCGACTGGCCCGCGGAGTCAGCCCGACCCCGGCGCCGACGGACGAGCGCCGTATCGGAGCGGACTCCCACCATCCTGACTCAGCCCGTCAGGTCAAAGTGCGGACACTGACGCACAACTGTATTAACCATCACATCACTGCTGGACGCATACACGACCCAATAAAAGCACTACGTCTACAGTCACATGGCAGGTAACAGGGTCCATTCAACATCACATGGTGACTACAAGCAGGCAGGCACAACGAAGTGAGACGTAGTCCCTTTCGAAGGTATGGGGAAGCATCACAGACGTTGAAATCATTAAATGAAGATCCGATGACTGATGAGTAATGTCACAACCACAAGTTAACATTCCCTAGCAACAATAAATATCCATTGACTATTCAATTAAGCGAGTCTATGATGGCTGCTGTCAGCTCGCCTTCTTCTTGGGCGACCTCTTCTTTTGCGACGGTCCTCGCTTTTTCGGCGATCCTTTCTTTGGGGATTTTTTCTTTTTGGGCGATTTCCGCCGTCGTCCGCTATTCTCCGTTCGGAAGGTGATGCACTGAAACAGACAGATGCCGTCAGCGCGGTGGTAAGTAAAGGCCGATACCGATTGCAGGGTCACCGCCACTGGACAAAGGTATGCCGGGCATGGACCACCCAACTTGTCAGATAATTAGTGGACGAATACGTACATTATAACTACCGCATGTTTAAGGAAACTGACATATACGAGTATAAACTATGCGAAACCATCGCCAAAAATGTCGAAAATGCCTGAGGATGATGCCGACGCAAAACAAATCAAATTTAAAAGTGGACAAACGTAAAATCCGGCAAACATCGGCCTAAATTGTTTGAAACGACGCTAATCTAGCACCTGTGCAAATCTCCGATAAGATAATCGATGACAGTATAAACGAAGCACCGCCACGGCAACGCTAATAAAAGCTGTGCTAAAACCGGAATGCGTATCGAACGTTCGTGACGTAAAAAAAGGAGAGATATGGAAGGAAACAGAGCATTACAATGGTAACTACTACGAGAAGAAAATACTTTCAATATGTGTTTTCGAGATCTTTCCTTAGAAGGGCTACCATAAACTTGCTCTTTTGAGGGAACATCCCCTGTCTACGAAGCACAAAACACTACAAAGGTCTCCAGAAGTGACGGTCATCGGTCACCTGTTCGTCGAGGAAATCCATGAGCTGCGCCATGCTGAGTTTGATGCCGTTCTGTCGCAGGTCTCTGTGCAGACTCTCTAGCCAGACGGGTTCGTAGGTGAGGACCTGGTGGTACAGCTCCGGTCGAGACAGGATGTAGGAGCGCAGCCGCTCCGGCAGCGCCGCCGCGGACGCTGCAGACAGAGACAGACATGGCGAATCGGACAGACAGACATATACAGGGTATATAGAGTATATACAGACATGTACACAGACACGGGAGAGTCCGACATACATGCATACAGGCAGACACTAGACAGACAGACAGACAGACAGACAGAGGAGAGTCAGACAGACCGACAGACGGACGGACGGACTGACAAAAAGACAGACAGACAGACAGACAGACAGACACAGACAGACAGGCAGTCAGACAGACAGGCAGTCAGACAAACACACCCGGAGAGTCAGATTGGGTGCAGACATGGCGCAGACATTGAGCGCAACAGAGTGGGGGCGATCCGTGACGAGTGGTACCGACTACCGATACCTTGCCATGCTATAAAGGATAGGTACTGTGCTACGATGCGACGGAACCTTGCAATGCTCGACGTGACAAGTCGCATCGAACTAAGAGTCCGTCTGTCACCCGTGGGTACGAACAACGGGAGACGGGAAGTGCACCAGCCATTTCCGGAATCGGTGGCGATTGTATGTCGGAACTTCTTAGTCCGCTGGCGATTTTACACCGGGTGCTTGTGCACCGAGACTAGAGGTCGAGAGCCGTCTGCTTACAGCGGACGATTTGAATAAGATAACACTGGATGCCTCATATCACTCGATAACAGCTAGTAGTCCACGCCACACTTCAATCGGTAGCTTATCAGCCTAGCCATCAATTATCTTTTTAGGTGGCTAATACTGCTACGCCTCTGGACCACAAGGACATGCAAACGCTTGATCAATATCACAACAGTCTTCATTCAGGAAAGAGCAGTCCATTTTCCCCAATCTGTCAGTAGCTGCCCGTCCACAATCCATCAGTCACTGCCTTCCCTGGTCGCGCTGTGAGTCGCCCACTCCACGGCGGTGTGCGCCACAGCCTGTCCTTGGTCAGCACAGAGTGACCACGCCGCGTGCGTCCACCGCGTGCGGCAGCTCGCCGTGTCGAGCCGGGCTGCACAGCGCCGCACAGTGCAAAGGCCGTGCACGACCGGCCGACCGGACGGGCCCCGTATAACCGTATATAGCCACGGCGGGCAGCGGTGGGCTCTGTCGTGTATTGTGGAGGTCGCGGTCAGGGTCGGGATTGGGGTCGGGAGTGGAATTGAACGGGGCTGGGAGACATCGGTGAGTAGGAGACACCGGAGAGAGAATGAAAAACGGGATGGGTCAGGCGGGGAGATAGATGATGGGTTAAGTGAGGCAAGGGAAAGCAAGAGTCAATGGGGGCGAGAGAAACGACGGAGGGACTTGACGGCCTGAGAGGGATATGGTGAATACATTATGGTCGTGATGACTGGAGGCAAACATCAATAACTGGATAGCATATTGAGCCCGCTATGCTTCAGTCGATACAGCGGGTTCCACGACTTGGCTGTGGGAACTGCCGCCACCCCTCACACTGACAGCGGACATAGCGTGCGTGCAAGGACCGCGGGGTGTGCAGAGCGGTCTCTCCGAGCAGACAAATGCATGCCAGTGAGCTCCTGACCGGCCGCCGACCAGCCGGCCCATGACCGGTCATTACACACCACGTCAGCACCCTGACCACCTGCCCACACTGACCGGCGGGGGGTCGGTGTCCACCTGTCGTTCGTGCATTCCGTCAGAACCCCGCGGCGGTCCGCGGCGGACCTCGCGGACGCAGCTGGCTTCCGCCCCCCTGCCCCCTGCCCCGTCCGGTCCGTCCGAGCCGCCGTGCCGGTCAGGTCAGCTAGTGGAGCAGGGAGGCGGTATCAGAACAGACTGAGCCAGCGACCAGCTGTCTGTTTTGACGGCGAGCGCGTCCGACCGACCCGTCACAAGGCGATGACTCAAACAACACGACCGCTTCCGGAGCTTCGGCCGCCTTCAGATCAAACAGGGACCACATCACTCAGAGTACGTCAAGTGTGACTGGGAAACAGTCGACAACCAAACACGCGTGTTGACTCAGCGGCGTAAGCCACTCATGTCGAGAACTCGCATACACTCGATGTGGTTGGGGGCGGGCTAGTGCGAAATTAGACGGCTTTTATCACACTATAGAGCGTGACACAAAACAACACTGCGCCTGAGTATCAAGGACGATGTAGGTATGTAGGCATGCTGTCCCCTGTCAATATGTCATACGAAGCCAAGCATGCCTCCGCGATATAGACTGCGTGCTTCATACCAAACCAGCTATGACCGACCCCAAGACTGATTTGCAATGATGAATCGCAAAAGAGGCATCGATAAGGCAGATGAAGGAAAACGGCAACACCGCGGTACACGTTTTCAGCGTTCAGTCTTGTGTAGCTCTGCGCTGATTGCAGTTTCCGGCGCTGTTGTGAATTATGCAATAGCTGTCACTCAGTTTCGAAACGGTGACTCACTGCGGGTTGACGAGAGTTGCATACAGCGTAGCTGCAGCAACGTACTACAAAGTGAAAATGCTATAGAACTCTCGACCAAGAACTTTCGACTTTGGTCTCAAACCAGAGAAACTATTCAATGCCCTTTCAGTCTCAAGTCCGAAGCTTTTTTTATTTGCTTAGTGGGCGGCAAGAGGGAAAGGAAAATGGTCGCAACAAGTCTATGCAAACTTAGCGACTTTGTTGGAGCTTGAATTCCACCCCATACAGTGACTGGACTTTTCACTGAAAGGCAGTCTAACTCCGCATGGCCCGGCATGCCGATAGCGTTATATGAGCAAAGCGCGGGTCGACAATGCCGTAATCTGACTCTGCACGGGACGAGTCACGAGCTGAGCGAGTGACGAACGGTGAGTCACCAGCTCGTGAGTCGTGACATGAGTTGACCTCGAGTTGGTCACCGCCGCCCACTGCCCACCGCCCAGCGAGCGCCGGTGCACCGCCCATCGTCCCCGCCACATGTCTCCACAGAACCGTCAGGTCAGCCATTCACCAGTCAACGTCTATCAAACCAGGGACTAACAGTTCAACAGCCAGCAACCATAATACCAGCCTACAGGGTAACAGCCTGACTTTAAGTCTATCCCATTCCCACCCACCGGCCACCGTCCATCGGTCACTGGACACGGGTCACTGCATCTCTGGCGAGCAGGCACAGGCCGCGGAGATCTTATCGAACAAGTCAAACAGGTATGCATATTGCACATACCAGCCGAGCGGCGGGCCGCTACGAAAACGAATACTACAAAACACACAGTAGTATTGTACCAAACACACAGTTACGCTACCTGATCTAGGACACGTATCGCATGATAACCTTTTCTTACTTCAATTTGTAAAAAGAACCTGCTGCTCCTATGCACAGTCCAGGGCCCAATCTCACCAAGTGCGGTAAACTGAATTTGGGGTAAAATACCAAACTACCCCACTCCATAACTACAAAAATACTACCCCAAAATTAGTTAAACTAGCTTGGTGAGGTTGGGCACTTGGCCCAATCTCACCAAGTTATGTAAACTTAATTTTGGGACAGTATTTTTGTAGTTACGGAGTGGGGTAGTTTGGTATTTTACCCCAAATTGAGTTTACCGCACTTGGTGAGATTGGGCCCTGCAGTGAACCAGACATTTCTTTTAGGATAGGAGGACGTCAGTGCTCGTATCGAGGTCCCCCAACATCTACATGACCAACATTCGGATGACCGACTGCCGACGACCCAGTGTCCGGCGCTGGCGAAACCCTGCCTTATTATGCATACACCACACTGGCTCGTTTCGACATGGCATCCTTTCATTCAGCCGAATGGCATAGAAGCTGTGAAACTGGGACCCGTATAAACAATTACACCATTAAAGAGGCAGACATGGCACCGCTTTCGCCGCGGGTCTACCAGTTGTGAGAGGAAAACTCAGCTACCGGGTGATAAAAGTTTACAAAAGTAACGGAATTTGTGCATAGCAGCCACCGACACCGCATGGTCCTGAATTGGCAGCAGAATTGGCAACATTCAGCTTGCAATAAAATGTTAATTATTTTATCGAAACATGCTTCCATTTTAACGTATTAGATAATCTCAAAATGTAGCATTAGGTACAATAAAACTGAGCTAGCCTTTGCAATTGAGTTGACAGAGCTTCGTAAGCAAAAGAACAGCACGTTGGCAGCAATCCGCATATAGCCGACCATCACAATGACTTGGAATCACACATTCGAGCTTCAGCGGCCATCCAACGAACCATGCCCAAACTCCGTATCTCCAGCATTAGCGTGTGAACGATACCGAGCCTCAAACGGCTCGGTGGGTGGGAAAATCATGTTGGTAATCAGTACCGGCGCGAGGTTGGTGCGCCATTCATCAGATTGCTCTCCGGCGATTCGGCCAGTGACCACCCGAGCGGACAGAATGGAGGATTGGAGGATGCACGGACGTGAGCTCCAAAGAACGAACGGACGGATGGATACTGAACACAGACCACATACTCTTCAATACAGCTGAGCTGAGCTCGTTCCCAATACACATGTTATATCACAACGTCCCTCCCTCCCGTTGACGTCTCTCTAATTCCCGAAATGGCGGAGATAACAATGACCGCCTGAGGAACTCACCTGCCTGTGACGGCGTGATCTCCTCCTCCTCATCCTCCCGCTCCAGCCGTTCTCCTAGGCGACTCAGAGTCTCCTCCAGGCGAGCGGCGGCGCCCTCTGAGCCGGACGACTCGCAGTCAGAGTCAGAGTCGGAGCGACCCCCGTCCCGAGTCGGAGACGGCTCCCGGGGACGGGCGAACTCCCCGTCACCGCCCGACTCTGGACCATCGCTGGGCGAGGCCGCGCGGGGTCGGGAGGTAAAGCTAACGCTGGGGGCGGCGGCGGCCTTGACTCTAGCGGTTTTGGAGCTGGTGGAGGCAGCGCTGGAGCTGGCAGCAGCAGAAGTTCCTCTGGAGCCAGCGGTAGAGGTTACAGGCTGTGAGGCGGCTGCCTGACCCCCACCACTGGCGCCAGTCGCCGGAGGGTGGGTCTCCTCGTATATGTGGGAGAGCAGGGCCACCGCCTTACGACGGGAGATGGGCTTGACGCCGATTCGAGCCAGCTCGCGCTGTTGAACAGACAAAAGATGCCGTCAGATAGAAGCACTTGTAGGTCCACGATGAATTCAGCTGCTCATTGATAGGGTAACGCAATGCAAGGCACGCTATTCGTTATTTAATAAACGCGTTTTAGATATGCAAAGTCAGAACTGGAATATAATTCATAATTCATGTAAAGCAACTCACGTATTAAACATGCATCGTTCTGAAGACAACAAATAATCTAGCTCAACCATTATTCGAACTTCCTTGCTAGTGTTACTCTCCTCATCCCGTCAACATGACAAATCTACGTCATCACAATCCTCCCCACCACCCAGCAGTCCAGCCTGTCCACACCCACCAGTCCACTGCACCCACCTTCAGCTCCGGAGTCAGCATGAGCACGTAGTTGGGCCGCGGCGTGTTCGAGTCCCGCAGCACCACCCGGTACGGGTTGACCGGAGTCCGCTGCGGTGGCCGCGGCGGCGCCATGGTTGTCTCAGGAGTCCCAGCATCATCCGTCCCGCCAGACCGAGCTCCTGCCTGGCCCGACCTCCGTTCTGATGTCTCAGAGTCCCCTGGCCTCCCTACCGGAACCTCGGCTCCTCCAAGTCTGCTCACTGGGGTGTCCGATCCCGTCGATTGCACCCTGGAATCACCAGCGTTCTCCTGGTGAAACGGATGAATCCCTGAGTCCGCCCGTCGCGAGGTAGTCGTGGTCTCTGCCTCAGTCGGGGTGACGTAACCGGCCAGGAGGCTGGAGTCTCCCCAGAGCTCAGAGTTGTCCAGGGAGGAGCGAGGTCCTGCCGGCGGCTCCGTATCGGTGGCTGGAGCTGTAGCGGTAGCGGTAGGACGGAGAGGAGTACCCAGAGGTGGCGGCGGCGGTTCGATGAGTTCTATGTAGCCGCAGTCTTCGAAACCATCCCAGACGTCCGCAGGCGGTGGGTCGGACGGGGGAGATGGGGCGGGTCCGGGACTACCCTCTCGGTGACTAGGTGGTCGAGGAGGGGAGACTTCTGACTTCTGACGGACCTCAGGCGATGGAGGGCCGATTGAGGTCCGGTCAGGGGAGAGTCCGGAGGACGGAACGGGTATCTCCGGTGAGCAGGGAGGCATGGCCACCGATGACGCAGCGCCACCAGTATCAGGACGGTCAGACTCCGTCGGCAGACGCCGGGGAGTGACGGGCGAGCCAGCTCCGCTCACTCCCGATTCGCGTCGCTCAACGGTCGGCGGCGGTGAGGGTGGACTCTGCGAGTCGGCAGCGGGTTCCTGACGTCTGGAGATGAGCGGTGAGGAACCGAACGAGTCGTCTCTCAACTCGGTTTGTCTCCGCGGCTGGGAACGAGACGGCGAGGATAGGGGAGAGACGCCACCGACGGGGGACTGTGCCTGACTAGCTTCTGTTTGCGCCTTGGATGGAGAATCTCCGCCCTGATCACTCTGATCGCCGCTTTCCAATGCTGCCTCTTTCACTGGTGAGCCGTCTCCTTCCAGTCCGCTGGAGCGACGAGGTGACTTCACTTTCTGCGTGAACACCATCGGTGCCTCGTCTAAGATCTCTATATCCGAATCGGCTGACACGGGGCGCGGTGGTGGCTCCTGAGACCCTGAACCCACCTTCTGTAGGGTGTTGGACGACGAAAGACGCCCTACTGGGATGCGGGAGAACCGAGATTCGCCCTGGTGTCGCCTGGTGCTCGGAGAGGCGAGCCGGGCCTTCACTGGTGACGGTGTAGCTGGTGATGAGGTCCTCCGCCGTTTGGACAGAGACGAGAACACTTCACAGATGTCATCCGGAGAGACGGGTCGGCGAGAGGGACTGCCGAGACGCTTCTGTCCTCGTCGGGGAGTGCTGGGGGTAGCGGGATTTGAGTCTCTACTAGACAGCCTGCGGGCAGACGATGGAGTGCCCAAATCACGCACTGGAGTCTTGTCTCTATCCGATAGCGTTCTCTCTCGTCTCCTCGGAGTTCCTCCTGACCTTGCAGTACCAGGTGTGCGTTTGTAGGGGGACTGGAGTCCTGTGTTAGCCCCGACCCGGCGGGGAGACTGGTTTGGTGAGCACACCACGTCACTGTCTGAGTCCCGGTGAGGTGACTGTTCTCTGTCTGACTCTGAGGCGGTGGCATGGACCGGTGAACCTTCCTCCATGTCCTCTCCACCGTCCGACGCGGTCAGGTCAAACAGCTCGGGGCTGAGCGGGGGCCTGTCGATGGAAGTCTCGGCCGGCGCGGGAGACGACGGCCCAAATGGGCTCTCAGTCACCTTCACCAGCTCCGCCTCCTTCACAGGCTCCGGCATCGTCACTCCGTGCTCCCGTCTGAGATAATACGCCAGCTCCAGCAGCTCAAATCTCTCAGCCAGGAGGAGCAGCTGCGGCAGCGGCGTGCTACCACTGGTGAACACAATCTCTCCTAGGTACAGCAGCCGGACCAGAGCCGCGGCGGCGCGGTGGCTGACCTCCGGCAGCGACAGCCGTCCACCGGCTTCACTCAGCTCCCGGTACAGGGGCGGGCAGCGGACGGCCATCACTGCCGCGTGAACCGGTACCGAGCCGTCATTACAGAGGAGCGTCTCCGCCGGGGGGCCTCGACCTGTCAGTAGGAGCTCCAGCAGCGCGGCACCCAGGTCACCGGCAGGCGCCAGGAAACACCCACCGTCTGATGAGGGGGCGGGCGAGCCGGAGTCGGGGGTGGACGGAATCGGCCGCGGGGAGGAGCATGGTGAGAGGGCAGCTTTCTTCGCAGTACCGCCACAGCGTGGAGTAGTAGTGGTACCAGTGGAGGCGAAGGTTGTGACAGATTCAGAAGATGTGATGGTGTCAGCAGTCGAGGAGGTGGCCGCGGCTGCGGATGTTTCATTAGTGTTAGTGCCGGAGCCAGACTGCTTGCCGGTCCGCTCTGTCGTGAGACTAGTACTACCAGATCCTCTCGACCTGACATCAGCCTGACCGCTGAGACGAGCCCTTCGTCTAATAACTGGCGAGGGATGGTGCGTGTTATCGACACCAACTGAGGTGGCAGTCGGGGCTGGTGATTTCTGGTGACCATCTCCATCAGTCATGGGATCGGTCTTTCGTTCGCATCCAACTCCAACTGAAACATGTGGAGGGACTAGCGATGGCTCCTCTGGCTTCAGCGACACGTCGGTGACATCATCCCGCACAGTCTCGATTTCCCTGCTTATGAGTAGAGCCGTTTTCTCGTCCTGTGACTGTTCGGTTGTTTCAGTTACCTCCACTGTCACTCCATTCCTTTCCTGACCTTGCTCCTTGCCTTTCTCCTCTCCAGTCTCCGCTGAGTCCTCAATCACAACGTCCATCTTAGCCACAGTATTACTATCCGCATCCTTATCCACCCCACTACCTTCTTCATCCTTAGGTACCGTCTCCCCCTTTGGGGTCACTTCCGATGATTCGGCCGTGACTCCGAGGTCACCAGAGTCACCAGGGCTGTGCGGTGGTTCGGCTGAATCAGCCGGCGGCTGGGATGACTCTGAGTCCTCAGCGTCGCCAGCCAGCAGCAGCAGCGCCGCCTGCGTGGCCCCCGCGGGGTCCTCCGCTGCTGTTGTGTCCATGTCCTCCGCGCCGCCGTCATCGTCTGGTTCCTCTGCAGGCGGCTGTCGGAGGACCGCACAAAGGAAACGTCAATAAAGGTCATCTTGGATACTTTAGATCAGGGACAGCAAGTCCAGCCGTGTTGTGATGGAAATCGCACTTCCATTCCAAGTGAAATCGGAAAACTCAATATGACACGATGCAACATAGGATCAACAAACGAGCCACGAGTACTCTTTCCATGGTAACTCACCTTTTGTGTGAGGCTTTCCCGTCCCGGTATGTCTGCCACATCCCTGAGTAGACTTGTGACCGGGGCGGTACAGGGCTCCACCAGCCCCACAAGCTCCGGAACGTAGTAGTCCCCCTGTGAATTAGACATGGTAAGGACATATTTCAATATATGTGATGGGGGCGGTAACTACAGAGTACAGGTCTCCACCAGCCCCGCCAGCTCCGGAACATAGTAGTCGCCCTGTGAATTAGACAAGGTCAGACTATACTAAAGGAACAGGCAGTGACGGGGGCGGTACAGGGCTTCACAAAACCCAGCAGTTTCATCACGGTAAAGTCACCCTATGATGGGAGATAGGGTCAGCCATCAGGAAAACACATGGTGTATCATGCTCTACTGGCCACGCCAGCTTCGGTAAGACGTAATCGCGCGGTTACAATCGGTAGGGCTAAGAAAACCATTATCTGAAAAATAGGAATGACTATCCTGCAGCTCGGAATACATGGCACGAACGACAGAAAATGGCCAATGGCCTCCCAAACGTGACCTGATCTGACCTCCGTCTGCTGCTTTTCCCACGATACCCTGGCCTACCTCGCTGCTGTGCAGCTGTGCCGCCTTCTGCCAGGCGACCGCCGGCTGCGGCGACCCTTTCCGCGCGCGGAGACGACGGGGCTCAACAGGAATCACCTCCTCCTGAACAGAGCCATACAGAAGCTCAGTCAGATGTCAGACAGGGATAAAGTGACAGAGCATGTACGTTATACATAATACTCGCCTAATGAGACATGCATATTGCATGCACAAATATTTTGACTGAAAAGGTAGGTCTGCATTTGCAATGCGAGCAGAATATACTAAACTGCACGATTTTTGTCCAACCAGAAGCTTCAGACAAATGCTTTGTTGGTGCACGTGCATTCCAAGATCAAGATCAAGATCAAGTTGGTAATTCTATAAATGCTCCCGGTTCCGTGAACCCTCTGGCCTCTATCTTACGAATGTAACGGCAATTTTCTATAACTATATTATGCTTTCGGAGACCCCCGACCTTACTAACCCATGCCAGTAGTTCGGCTACCTTCTCGCACAGCCGCCGGTCCCGCTCCTCCTTGGTCTGGGTGACGAGGACAGAGGCGGCGGCGGGGCCCTTCTTCCTCCCGCCTCGTCGGCTACGACCGGCTGGAGGATCGTCTGAGGAACACGAGAGCAACTTTCAGTGGCCAGCACCGAATAGCAGACCGAAAAAAGATCAATGAGCTGCTACTGGAAGGACAAATGAGTAAGCTGCAGAACTAAAGAGAGCTGGCAAATATCGTTATCGGTATAAAGCTTGGCAAGTACTACAAAATGTATCAACATACGAGCAGCTAAGGAGCATTTAACAAATGATGCATCTTCTGGAAATCAACAAAAACGAAAACTATGACGATTAACCGCTCGGTGGAAGTGGCATTCGGCAACAGCGCTCATTTCCCACCGGCCGCCACCCCTGACCCCTACTAACCGTTGGCGGGGGCGGGGGCGGTCGGCTCGGGCGGCACGGCGCCGCCGCTGTCCCGGACCGCCTCCAGCTCTCCCTCCAGCCCAAGTTCGAGCAGCTGAGCCTCGGCCAGTCGCCGGGAGCGCTCCTGTTCGTCCCGGAGAGAGGCGGACACGGCCAGCGCCATCTGTAGTTCGGCGTCACCGTCAGCAGAGGACGCCACCGCTCCGCGACGCCGGCCCTGAGAGACGAGGACGGTTACACGGTGCAGCCGCAGTGCGGTACAGTCTAGAAAACGGATGAAAGGTCGGAAGCAGAGACTAGAGTTTACCACAACAAGCAATCACACCATATATCGGGCTCAATACATAAATGCATAAAATGTTCCGTAAGAAAAGACCAACGACTGGCAACAGCCTGCCCCGAATCGACTGCACCGGCTAAAAATCCCACCTAAAACATCATCTTTCCATCTCAGTTACAGTCCTCCGATCGCTATGATTATTAATTATCAGGACGCATATATACTTCTTTACGGTTCGAACTCTGTTCCGGACTGGACGGACTGGACGGCCACCGGACCGACGTCACCTCAGCGCTATGTTCGCGTGCGGCGGGTTGACCGTTATCGAGACTGGATAGTCTGTCCATCAAAACTGTCTCAGCTTCCGGCAGCGCACCAGGGTGGCTGTCCAGACCAATGTATATCCATATTTCCTAGCAACATCTCCCGGCTCTGAAAAGGTCTCACTAGGCCGAAGACCTAACTGAACAAAATAAGCCATCATTTACAGCAACGCGTCAGACTGAGCCAGTCCCCCGACAGAACTAATCAGTCCCCACCCACACCCACCTGTTGTCCGGTACGGGTGCGACGTGCGGCCGGCGGCGCCGCGGAGCGCGTGGCCGGCAGACCGGCCGCCGCCCTCTCCCCGGCCTGTCTCTGTTGGAGCCGAACAGCGGCCAACAGCTGAGCGGGACTGAGGCCGCGCCGCTCTCCGCATAGTTTAATGTGCGCTGTGCGAGCTGCCGCCGAGGGCTGCGGCTGCAGACACACAGGGCAGTCGGCCACAGTCGCTGACGAAATCGTGGAGACACCCACAGCAGACACTTGGGCAGTGGATGCCGACGGAATATCGGTGACAGACGGCGGAGGAGCGGGAGACGAGGCGTCAGACGAACCTGCCGCCGCAGATGCTGGAGTGTTTGAGCCTCCCGGATCAGAGACTGGCGGTGGCACGGGCGAAGGGTCTGGAGCACCCCTGGCAAACCGCGAGAGGTCGATGGTCGGTGGTCGGGCCGGTTCTTGACCGTCCGGAGGCGGAGACCCTTCCGAAGCCGAGACTGCCGACTGCCGTGAGGAACGGGTCGAACGGGAGCTTCTAGTGGAGGCTCTGGTTGTCCGGCGGGTCCTCCCACCCCGTCCGGCCGCGGCGGACGACCCACGGCCACTGCCTCCAGGCTTCTGTCCACCGGGCGGTTTAACGTCACTGGGCGGCGGTTTGACGTCACTATACGTCTCTCTGACGTCACTATCCGTCCCTCTGACGTCACTGGCCCGCGGGAAGAGGTCGCCGGCCGCCCTCTGTGCCACGGTGTCGAGCACGCCGCAGAAGGAGACGGCCGACACCGTTATCTCCCCTGACAGCCGCTGGGACTGAGTGCTGGATGGCTCGGCCGCGCACGACGACTGGGACAGCGTGGACCGGGTCCGAGACCTGGACAAAAGACAGCGTGTCGGTCACAATGTATTAGCACAACAGAGCTCAGTTTCACAAACAATAACACTGCATACTAGTTACTCAATTGCACATTGATATTCAATAGTTTCTATGCCTGCATGGCGAACCGAACTTCATCGCAAGGAACCAGTAAAAATGTTCCTAGCACAGCTGCGACAAAGTATCTATTCACTCAAAAGCGCCTCTTTCTTAATAATGCTGAATGCTGAACTAGACAGCTTCATCAACAGCAATGCTCACAAATCTACTCTACTCAGCCATACAAAATCCCCCACAGTTCAATTACCGAGCGAAGGAGAGACTGGGCGTGAAGTCGTCGCTCGTGTCCAGGTCGGGCGGCTCCGGGGCCGAGGTGGGCGGCTGGCGGCCGCTCCTGCCGCCCCGCCGACTCAGTTTGCTGACCCGCTGACTGGCCTGAGACATGGCCGGCCCGTAATACACCCAGTGTCACGGCAGTTAGACCGTCCTGGCGTCCGGTGGATACAGATACTCAGTGGAGGGTGCTTCCAGAAACACTCACACACGGGCACTGCGGTCCTTCAGTTCACTGTTCTGTCTTTATCACAGTGTGACACGGACGCTGTCACACACAATCCGTTCACACTACCACTGCACTCCTCTGGAGCTGGATGCTGTCCCTTTACACTGCAGTAAAGCAACTACGCAAACCGGTGGTGCTCCTTGTCGTAGTCTTCATCGGTTTTGACCTTTTGACTCGGCCGTACCGGCAACAGTTTTCGCATCTTCATCTCATTCAATATCTGAAAAAAAATGTACACAAGATTGATGACTGTCTCATTTTTTTTCTAGATCAAGTCAAAATATGCAACAAATGGGTGGATTATCAAGGTTGTGACCACTGCCCCAAGCAGCTGTCTACATTGGTGCATCATGATTCCAGCAAAAAAAAAAAAAAAAAAATCATGGCCAGCACAGAACAAATATGTGAAAACCACTCTGTCATAAGCAGTGTCCACTTGATGTGTAAATGTCAAATGAATTGACACAAATCAATAGCCACAATACAGATCTGAACACGAAACAAACATCCCAACTGCTCCAATGATTCCCTGACCAGCAAAATAAACAGTATGGAGGTAAAATTACCTTATGTTCTTCCTCAGTAAAGTTGCTAGCAGTATTCTGAATTTTTTCTTTCCTATCATCAGAAAGTGATATGTATCTGAAAAATATCATTGGTAAGTTATACTACATCAAAATGTGTTGTATGATTGGACAATAAACACATATGTAATATTATGCAACAGACAGAAATTCTTGACATTCCATTTTGAAGTAACAAACAAACAAACAAACAAACAAACAAACAAACAAACAAACAAACAAACAAACAAACAGTGATACTGAAACAGAAATGTGAGAAACTTTAGCTCTAAGCCAGAGCCTAGGTGTTATAGTGCAAACCAGGTGCTGAAAGAGGTTTAAAATAAAAACATACATGTGAAATGGAAATGCAGTATTCCTCATAAACTTTTTTGGCTCTTGGCATTGACCCATCATATTTTCATATTGTATCTAAAAGAATCATGACAAATGTTTATTGAGTACCTTTGAAAAAGTATTGTTCACATGAAGTAGGTTATAGGTATGTCAAGTATATGCACAAACAGGGACAAAACAATAAATATTAAATGGAATGTGTTCTTACAGAGCTGCACCAACCAGTAGTGAGGATCCCACTAGTCCAAACGCTACTTGAGTAGATAGCCTTGCCAATGGTGTGCCTGCTATAGTTTTAGGCTTCTGCTTCCACTGTGGCCAGGACATGACTTTACAGCCGCCTTACCCAGTGTTCACCCTGGGGGATAAAAAGCACAAACAATTAAAATCAACTACTAGCCTAGCTAGCACCTAAAATGATGTCTTGTTCTGGCCTGTTTAGCCGTTATCCTGCTCCACTAGTCCAGAATACTGTTCAATTTGCTAGTTTTCACAAACACATTGCCAGCCAGGCTATAGTGGACTTTCTATAATTCTCATAGGCAAAATTCATACCAATCAGCAAATGAATGACAGATAAAGAAATGCTAAAAAAAGCATATTTCATACACAACAGAACTTGCAGCAATCAGCATGGTGATAAAAGCCTGACAGAGGACATCTGACATTAATAATGCTACACTGCAGAATTCTCTTTCAATAGTGTGTTTGTAAAATAGCAATAAAAGAAAAATAAACAACTGATGCAAACTGTGGGAAACTAATGCACAATCAAGCTGATCCAGAAAGCAAAGTGTGGCAACTGACTACTGAGTCAACAAGCCGCACCATGTTGGATCGGTAACAAATCCAATCTGAATCAGTCACCAGCCCACACCAACCCGACCCCCCACCAAACACGATTTGGCAGCACTGTAATGATGTCTGCTGGGCGTGAAGTTTTCCCTTCACCATAGGGTTTACACACAAACTGGTCAAAGTTTGAGCCAGGATATACTAGTCTAAAAATGCAAAAAACGAACAAATTTTGGCATCAATAGATTCAGCATTTCATCGTGTGCCTCAAATCGTCCATCATTTGGCCTCAAAGGAGGTAAAAATTGTTCAAAATCGAAGTTGAAAAGATGCTTTCTGAGCACATAATCTGGTAGCTATCACGTGACCTGCTATAAGCAGCTTATCGATAATTTACAAACATAATTATTAATATACTGCTTTAAACAACATTAATCATACATTTTGAGCTTTCAGTACATTAAATAAGGTCAAAACATCGCAAAACACAAAAGTTAATACAATAGTCACGTGGGTGTCAGGAAATGTCACAGGTGCGTCAAATTTGTGACTGGGGCTTTACTTTCAAACATCGGATCTACCTGTTTCTTATAGGTATCTTGCACCAACCAGCCCATAGGCGGCGGAACAGGAAGGGCACCGGGGCACCAGGCATGCCCCCTTTTGATTTTGGAATTTTAACATTAGCCCTATGGGCGTTGCATGGAAAGAATGGGACCAAAAGTTGGCAGTGCCCCCGCCCCCCCTTAACCCTCGCCAGCCGAGGGCCTTTTCCATAACACGGACGGCGAGGGGAGTTGGTACGACCCCCCTCGCAATTGGCTCCTATGGCACTTAGAAATGCCAAATTTACAGGGTAGGTGGGTCCATAGGAGATCTCGTCCCTGTGAAAGTTCGGTGACTCTAAGTCAATGTGCCGCCATTTTAACGTTATTTGCGAAAAACCTTAGGGTGGGTTGCATCAACCCCCCCTCGCCGGGCGAGGGTTAATTGAAGGTGTTTTGCCGCTACTGAACCACCCTGGAAATCTGCACTATATGCACAAGATGCAGTTGTGATAAAAATCAGTAAAAATTATAAAAAACTAACATGCCAAACATTTCGCAAATGTGACATTTGCAGCGCAGAGGGATGTCATAATTATTTTAGAAAATCAATGAAATTATCCATTTGTAATGACAAAAACACATAATTTATCACCCAGCATCATACACACTTATTTCGTAGCATAAGCAGTTAGTTGAGTTAGTTATATTTCATCTAAAATGACTAAAATATCCAAGCACGGAAAAACTCTGACGCGCAAGAAATGTCAACACAACAAGGACGCGGACATGTTGAAATCCAGGAGCTATAGATATCAATTTAACCTGGTTATTGATTCAATTTTTGCGATCCTGTTTTAAATATTAAATTTAATAAGATATCATAAAAACAAAAATAGTTTCTTTACATCTCAAGCAATTATCTTCTATTCGCGCTCTTGCTTTTGAATAAAAGGTTTTGACAAATTTATTATTTCTGTAGAAGAATACATAGGTTATCACCCAATTTGTGCAATCTTCACTAAAAAACTTAAAATTTGACTCACATTTCACCGTCAGCTCAACAAATCAGAGTGTAGGTATATATTATAAAACATCAAACTAATTGCTTTTAGAAAAGGTATTAAAATTGCAGGATTAGCCCTCGCACTTTGCTCGTGCACCTATAAGCGGAGGCCGGGTCAAACGGAGCCCCTCGGTTTTTCACAAATAACTTTCGCCGATCGCGACGTAACTTTGCTGGCGATAAGGTTTATTTCGACACGGCAGTAGAGACAAGCTTTTAACTATTAACCCGCGCGGCTCCAAGATTCCGCGCCGGGCCGGGGGGAGGGGGATATCTGAACACCCCCCTTCTAACTCGGCTCCTGGGCCACGTAGTGATACGCGGTAAGCGGCAGCCGGCAATCGAAAGAACGTCCAAAATAAGGACGAAAACACTTCAGTCATTTTTTGGGTCAGGTCAGAGGTCAGGTCACCAGAGGTCACCAAAAGTAAAATGTTGACTATTTCAACATTTTGGAAACTGCCGACGGCTATCTCGGGAACCGATAGAGCTACAGCGCCGCGGAACAGGGCATTGGATAGCCCTTTACAGAGCTTACTGAATATGTTCTCAGAGTTGACCTCAGGTGAACGGTTTAGCCTCCAGAGAGCAAAAACTGTAAAAATAGCCGTTTTCAAGAAAAATGTTTTTCGGCAATAACTTTTGACTCAAGAGAGCCACGACATTACTTTGGCAGCATCGTGTTCCTCTCGTCGAGACGCGTCGAATGAACTATTTGCTGTCCTTGAAAGGTCATTTTGAAGATTTGACCCCAGGTCAAGGTCATGATCTGACCGGAAAAGGTCATGTTACATATCAGTCGATCCGTATCGTCAATCTGAACACATCTGACGTGTTTTCTTCACTCAAGCACGTCTCTATCAAAAGTTATCATAACTTGCTAGTAGCAAAAAACTCATGTTGACCGTTTATGACCTGAGATGACCTCAGGGGCATACAGAGAGGTCACAGCCCACAGGTGCATTTTTCCGATTCAGTGTGTCATGTTTACGTGTGACCATGTGAACCGATGTTGTTTGAGAGCGTTTTGAACGTCATTCGTCCAAAAGATATGCATTTTAACCCGCGAGCTGCTGGGGGGGGGGGCGTTAAACGCCCCCACT